ATCGAAGGATCGTAATTAAGAGATCTCCCCGCTTTGGAGAACTGGTCGTTAAAGTTCATGCAACTTTGTTTCCAATCGAGAAATAAGATTCATACGAAAACTAGCGGATAACGTAGCTTTGGATTCGTGGTAAGTGGAAATTGGCGATGTACGCGTTTCTTTCTATTTCTTTTTTTTTTTTTTTTTTTTTTTAANCGCGATAAACGCCAGATCGCCTGATCAGTACGGAGTGCATGTCCATAGCGGAAAGGGAACCGAAGGCAAAGTGAGACTCGCTGCCCTTTCGAAGCGCGAATCTTATAATGCGATAGTCCGGCCGCGGTATCCTTCGCTCGGTTTTCCGATAGCTAAACTTAGCGGGCGAGTTATAACGGATATAGAGCACGAAAACCATTTGCGGTGGCCGCATGAAAACGGCAGCCGAACCACTATTTTTGCTTGTGTCGTAGCTTATCCGCTCCAGGGCGGAAATAATATCATTAGAAAACTTACTGTAATTATACTATGTCGGCCACGGGCGTGGATTCTCATAAAAATGAATTATGAGAAATAAAATGAGATATGAATTAAATATTTCCATTTTTGTTCGATTTAACATGAACAGTACAGATTTTTACAATCTGAATTCTCTCGCAGGATAAGTACGGTGCCACTTTGAAATTTTATCCGGTCGCTCGCGTTTCGCGGAAACTGAATAGTTTGACACACCATAATTTATCACGTGTACTCTCCACGCACGATCATTATCGGCCAATGTCGTAATTACTTGGCGAAATTTGCATAACGCACAATACAATTTACATTGCAGTGGACTAATGGCGCTTTGAACATTGCATACTTTTCTCTGAAACTGCGGAGAATGGATTATCTCTCGAACGTGAAATCAACTGCGCCGGGTGTCTCACTGAAAGCAACATTTTACTTTTCAATGAGACGTTTAAACATAAGAATGTACCTCACAAATCGCATAAACAAAGAGAAGGAGAGAGAGAGAAAGAGAGAAAAGAGACAAAGTTAACAAATGGAATGAAGACATTTAATGTTGTTTCTAACGCACGATTTCATTAAGACGACCTCATATATGCAATTATTAACATTTCCCACTTCGTTAACAATATACCACACATGAAAAGAACGCAATGCGCGTGTATTCCGACTAGTGATAGACGATCTCGACTCGATTTTCAAAAAATCGATCTTTTCCCTCCAAAATTGATTATTTTTAATCAATCGGATTTAGGAAATCAGTTCTTTTAGTCCGATTTTTGTAATAAATCAATTTTAGTTATCCCGATTAAAAAACAGTTCAAATATCAATTTTTTTCTAAAAGATCACTCATCGTTAATTCAAACTATTCAAGAGCTTTCTTCTCGTGCTTATCAATCCGCTGCGCGAATTTCGAGTTGTTTTCCACCCTCATTCAGAAGCCGATCGTGCAAGATTTAACTGAAAATTTAACGGATATCAATTGGATTTGACGCGAATTAAACTACTGAATTAAGCTGTAAGTAGGTAAAAATGTGACATTGATTTAAGGTTCACATCCCCCGAATTCGTCGGCCAAAAGTCTTTCGTGCGCGGAGAGGTGATATTTTGATAAAAAACGTGGTAATATATCATTTGGTTTGACCCGTTTCATGTGGCGCGCAAGCGCAAAGGAGGACGCATTGACGGTGTTTATCCGATCGTTCGTACAGAGACGGCCGGTTTGAGATATGCACGTCACGAAACGCAACACGCGACGTCATCGGACACTGCGAAATGTATATTCATCAACAACTACCGCACTTCATGATTAACAAACGAATTTACATTCGTTTTAGACTGGAGCGGATTTACAGATTTTCGATGCCCGACTGACGTCACCGTGCTTTTTGCATCTTTCTTCTTTACGAGCCAGAACGGAAGTCTGAGATGAAATTTTAATTATACATTATGAGAATAAAAATCCTTCAGTTCAGTTATCCATTAATCTTTATTAACTTTAATACATTTTTTTTAAATCTTTATTAGATTATTTCTTACGTACTCCACCAAATTATATAATTAATATATAACTCGGAATGAAATTAAGAAGCAAAATTATTTTTTAATAAGTACAGTGAAATATTGAGGTAATCGAATATATATTTATCTACTTATTCTGAAATGAATCTTTCCTTAAAACTCAACATGGAGAAAACAGTAGCGTCTGTAATGTTATTAATATACAATTAATGGACGAAGACTTGCATAACGTTAAATATAGATTCTCTTTGTGATTCTACAGTATTTTCTGAGGAGAGAACGCACCATTTTGAAGAATATCTTTGAAACGCTGATGAATTAAATTTTGCGCGAGGAATGGCACGGAAATCGAAATTTGTAAGTCGTAAAACCTTCAATATTGAGAAAATAATCAAATGTCGAGATACCGTTTTTATCCACTAATTAAGCTAACAATTACAGGTTTGAAAGAATTTGCAGGATTAATGTAGAATTAAAATTTCATCTCGCTAGGTTTCGGTCTCGAAAGAGCTCTATTTTTCTTATCCGTAATAATCTTTGCTAACTTCCGCCCAAATAGCAATAAAAACAATTGCTGACTGAAAATAAACGAAAAATAATTTGCGGATGAAAGTTGAGCCTCGTATTTTACCGTTGGAGCAATTAGCTTGGCTTAATTAGGAGGAAAGGTTTCGCTTCTGTTTCATTCTCCGGTCATCGATCCTAGTTAGCGTTAGTTTAAAAAAATGACACGACTAGCGAGACACCCTTTATGCGCCAACTTTTGGCTTATGCAATTTTTCAAACCTTTCAGAGGCTAAATTAAGGGATAAAATTGCGAGACTTTGAGTAGTTTAATTAATGGATAAAAGTTGTACCTCGACATTTGATTCTTTTCTCAATATTGAAAGTTTTACGACTTACAAATTCCGATTTCGGTGCTATTTCTCGCGTAAAGTTCAATTAATCGGCGTATCAGAGATATTCTTTAAAACGGTACGTTCTCATTGCTCAGAAAGCACGTAGAAAAAAGTGTCATACTCATCAAAGTCCCGTCTTTTCGCGTTGCAAGGATTAAAAACTAAAAAATCTGCATGAAACACGAGACGCGCCTTTCCGAGAGAGCAATGTACTTCGCGCCCTCTCTTCTTCGTTTTCATCTTGTCCTGGCTCTTGTTCCTGTCTCTCCGCTACACTAACGTTATTTATCCTGCCGTGCGGGTCGCACGGTCAAGGAGGAGCGTCCCGAGTGTAAGGAAGAAGTCTTAACGACGGTGTGCACCTACGTAAAAGAGAATGTCGCTGGGGGAACGACGGTAATAGGTGGGCCATGGAGGAGGATGCGCTGGCAGCTGCGATAATAGTCACCGCTGCAAAATAAAAGGACGCTTAACGATCGGGTTCAACACGGCAGACGACGCGAACACATAGCACCGCCCGTGCACTCCGCCTCCATCGTCATCTTTAGCTGTCGTAAAACACGTCGTGAAACGACGCGTCATTCCACGAGATGAGGGAAAATCGAGGCTGAGGACACGCCAAAGACGCGTAATGCAGGGCTCGAAATGAAGTGAATCCGCAGAGATACGAGCATTTCTCATCTAGGACGCGCGTGATTCTCCGCGATCGCCGATCGAAATGCATTTTTATCGTTGTGATAAGACGATAGGTATCGTGTCGGGCAAATTGGTCGACGTTTGTCAGAGCAGCGATTTAGAATACATTCCGATATTCACTGCCAGTACTAAAAATTTGCAATATACGTAACACGAACTATAGATTTTCAGTACTGGCAATGAATATTGGAATACAGCCAGAGATGAGGAATAGAGTTCCCATGATAAGAGTTGCCACATAGAGGTGGGTTTTTAATTATTTAAGTTATTGCATATGGTGGATCAGCGTAACTGGAGAGTTATTCTTTAAATTCTGTCTCCTTCAATCAGAAAGCTTTTGGTTGTTCCTCTTCTGGCTAATGCAACTAAATTTTTTTCGTACCTCCTTGTCTTTTTGCTAATTTCTTTCAATATATTCCCCATACAGCAGAAATTTTCAAAATACATAATAGAAATATCCCACAGACGTTAGGAAATTTTTAGGATATTCCTATAATATATTTTAGACATTTCTATCGTGTTAATTTGACAGGCTGTCAATAATATATTGAAGGTAAGTAAATCCAATTTAAATTTGAGGAAATTAACAACTTGCTATGTGCGTACTATTTAATTTATTATTATTATACCAAAAGAATTTCAGTTTGCGCAATTAAATAAGCATCAGATTAAAATTCGTTGACAAGAAAAATGACATCTCTATTATTGAGTCTATAAATGGCGGTGGTTTGTCGCAACTCTTATTATAGGAACTTAATGACGGCTTTCCGCGAACGCTTCGCGTTCACGTTGAAAGTCACGTTTGTCGGCGACAAGATATTGTGGTTCACCGGAAATTAGAAGTGCTTTCACCTGCTCGGAAGAACGTGGAAACTGTGTGTGTATTAATTTGACGTAATTATTTCGACGTTCCCGTCGTTAGCGCAAAGCTATGCGTTTAGTTGGCGATCGCTCTCTCGGGCCGAAATTTCAAAGGCATCACAATCATTCGTTATGAATATCCGTCGCTGCAAACTGAATTGTTGTTGTTATACGTTCGCGTTCGTTAATCACTATGCGTAATTCTACACGCGGTTCTATTGGCAATCAAGATATTTTGGCACGAATGGCGATGTTAATAGTTATAATGCGGTTAATAACAGACGCTTCTAATTTACGCTTGTCACTCGTAACTACCTATAATGATTATAAAGCGAAAGAGAGACAGAAAGAGAGAAAGAGAGAGAGAAAGAGAAAGAGAGAGAGAGAGAGAGAGAGAGAGAGAAGACAGGGCAGATGAGCAATATGAAAACGAATATAATATGCATGAATATGTAGAAATACTTGTAATAATAATATGAAAAATATTTGTATTGCTATCTGCAAATATATACCAAACACACAATGATAGGCGTTAGTATATTTATTGAAGTACATATATCGATACAATTTAGCCGGAAACGTATACATAATTTCGTAAATATGCGAAACATTCAATGCATTAAGCAAGCATACATTCGTAAATTTACATATCGTAAATAATACATCGCAGAATAACGCGTTCCAATTCAGATTAGATCGCTTAAAAAGTAAATAAAATTGAATTACGAATTTAAATGAATTTCGTGACTCTCGAGAACGTACAACATTGCGACTCAAATTTCTACCTCTCTAGAAACGTTTTAAAAATTCTTACACACTATCTCACTCTGTTACATACACGTTCCTCGTAATCCGCGAAACGTAGAAATGCTTGTGGTTCTCAAGATATGAAGTACGCCGTAAATGCGTCATAACGCGATTCGATAGGTTTTACGATACGAAAAAACATCGCGAGAAATTTTAGTCGGAGATTTTCAGGAGAGATTTTTTAATAAATCCATCAATCCGTATGTATTATGACGCAAAGCGTGTTGCGCTGACGTGAAAGAATGGTGTTTTAAAAATACAGATGAGATATTGTCGTTCCATGATAAAACGCATGTCGAGTATTTATCTTCTAAAATGACGACAAATCTACATCATCTACATCATCTAAATCTAAGGATATTTTTTCATACTTAACAAAATTTCGCAATCTTAGTAAGATTCAATAAAAAATCGTATACGTGCTTTGAGATACTTAAAAATAAATGTACGTGCGTTAATTCCTCCAACCGTCCTACTTATTCGCGAACGAGCAACATAAACGATTCAAGCGATTCCTTTCCTGCGTTGAACGCAGAAGAACGGAGAATCGAGGATTCGATCGAATGTGCGCGAACGAAATCAGATTCCGAACGAATCTCGCGGCAATGAAAGGGAAGCTTCGTTTCTCCTTCGTAATTGCATTTAATTTCCGTTTACAAAAACAGTACTTCTTGGGTTTAAATCTCTCTCTGTTTTTGATTCTCATATATATTCTTATACGCCGTATAAAACGAGCACGTAATATATATATCTATATATATATATATATGTGCATATAGAAATATAATTCGTGCAACACTTAATTCTTTGTACGAATTCTTCTAACTGCAAACACCGGTTCGTAGAGCCATTATTAATCGAATTACCCGCGTCGACCGGCCAAACGGCTCGGCGATCACGCGCGCGCACAAATATACGCGCAGATATCACCGTGAAACAAATAAACGATCGTGTGAAATTTATGCTGACACACCACACGGTTGTGCTTGTACGTCACATTGAATCACCTACAAGAGATACAGTCACGTGGAAACATGTTTATTATGCTTATCATTGCGTTGAACAAGTGTGTTTGTAACGTTACATATACGGTCGCAGGGTTGTCTTTTGCTCTCGTGAGATGGGTGTGAAAGAATCTTCCTCTTACGTATGTTCGCGTGTCAATGGATAATTCGTCGATTAATAACGAAATTCTCGATTCGCGGCCGGCACGTGCGAACGCCACGTTTCGATGCGCCGTCGTTCGTTCGCGAAACTATCGTCGTCGAGTCTCGAGCCACTTTTAAATACATATCGTAATTCTGTCGAAACGCAATTACAAACCAATCGTACCGTATATTTTTTTTTCTTTATGAATGCATGTTGTTCAACGCAAACAGATCCAACTGGCTTATAATATCGCTCGCTTCTTAACTTTACTATTGGAAGTACTTTGCGTCACAACAATGATGGTACTAAAATAGAAACGAACGTCGCGTTAAGCTATCAGCCATTTCTCAGTATTGTACAACGTCAACAATTGCAACACTTCGATGAATAGCGTACGCGATTAAGAGTACCCTACGGGCTAAACAAAGGAGAAATACTGCACTGAATTAGGCCGGTTTTTAAAGAAGCGCTCACCTCGTATTGTGTGTCGTTATTGCTTTTGTGTTTCGAGCGAAATACGTGAGAGTCCTTCGAAAACAAAAAACACTTTTACGTGTGCGTCGGGAAATGAAAACGCGGAATAATCGTATATTAACGAGTGATATAAAGAATGCATTAGAAATAATAGTAAGGAAAATTAAGTTTACGCTTTCTCTCTCTCTCTCTCTCTCTCTCTCTGTACAGTGGCGAATTTTCGCAAAGGATACCTTGACGTTCGAATCGATCAAATAGATTAAAACTCTGCTTCAGAAGATTAAACAGGATAACATCGCATACAGAATAAAAGTATCTTTCGAATAATTCTAACATACTCTCTAAATGTAACATCAGTTTCATCAAATACTGTTAGACGTGTCCTCAGACACCAAATGCTTGTCGTTTGTGACGTCAACTGCAAACTTCAATCGCCCTTTTGCACTTTTTGCGCCTTTAAAGAAATATTTGCTATAAACCTGGAACGGAAGTTGGCACGAAGAAATCGAGTTCTTCGAAAGAAAATTGAATTTCCAGTCACGTAAAAACAATGGTGAAAATGATACTTCGCTTTAACCGTACGTACGTCACATCATAAACACGTCATTACAATCGCGTCACGCGTCATCAAAATGCACGCTTTATAAATGTGAAACACGTAGAAAAAGGAAACATTCTCGAAAATTTGTGCTGTCGAAGAGTCGAATGCAGTATAAACTGCTAAAACTTTGTCAATAGAAATATCTCGTATTTCTTGCTACGGTCCAGTTGATTATTGCGACTGGTTGAAATCGGAGATTCGGCTAGTCCCGGCGAGCGCACAGAGTCACTTCGAGATTCGAACGCGAGTAGCAAAAATTAGACTTTTACGTCACTTTACTTGTACTTCGGTATGTATTGAGTATATTTTAGTAACTGCCAGTATATCCATACTTATTCTACGCGCTATGCTTCTATGTTACTTCGTAGAGCTGCTGCGAACCCCTCGATGCGCTCCGCCGGGAGGACGAGTCTTCGATCGTGTGAACACCTCGCCAGTTGCACCACCACTTGGAGTGGATGCGAGCGCGATCACAGGAGAGAACGTTTCCTATTCGCTTTCTTCAAGAGCTCGCGCGCGCGGGAGATCCTTCCCGATGCGAGAACTTGAGAGATCTTCGTCAACGTGAGTTCCATTAAACCAGTCGAATTATCAACCAAACGATCTCTCCGTTAAAAATTCATATAATTATCGCGATGTGATCGCGATATAAAAATATACTTCTTTTAAATTGTCCCCATAAATAGATATTTGAATACTAGCGCGGTATACTATTATTATTTCTAAAGTACACTCTCCCCCGCCCCCCTCCCCCCATCGCCCTGCTTCCGATGCTTATTACGCTCTTTATTTATCGGCTTGTCGGAGTATCTTATCGGCTTGGTCAACACATACGAATCATTGAATCGCGATCCCTCGTGTAAATTTCTCGTCAGTCGAAATTCTCCACCCTAAAACTTTAACGGCTAGAACGAGTTGTTATGTGTTAACGGAAAATTCGATGGATTTTAAGCGCGATTTACGAGATAATTATTTTTACTATAAATATAGTCGTATATGTACGGAGAGAAAATACAAGAATACGAAAAAATATTAATATACTATTAAAAATCTATTGTTCTTCTCATAGTATATCAGTAATTTTTTCCATTAATAATTTTTACCAGTATTCTTGTAGTTTTCTTTCGCATGGGCAGTATAATTAAAAAATGAGAAGGAAATAAAAAATAAACCCTGCTTTTTTTCAAGTAAAGAAACTCAATAAATAAAAGAATTCTCGAAATTGTCTCAATATCGAAACGATCATAATCCCAGCCATTAAAGAATTAAGGGGAATCTTTGACATTCTTAGCAGAAACACGTCAATAAATGAACGTTAAACTATACGACTTATCGTTAAATAAATAATAGTGTGACGATTGCTGCGGAACTGAGCATACGAGATGATGAAAACTAAATTCGATTTGACACGCGTCCACTTTGACACAAATTACTACTGAACGCCCAGTCGCGTGTGGACTCACTTATATATATATATATATATATATTTATCTTATCTATAAATATTATTTTTAAGATAAATGTAACCTAACACGAGTTAAAAGTGATCGCTAGCGCCAATCATGTTTGACTCAGGAAACTGTTATTTTTCGTGATTAAACCTGCGCTACTCTCCGACATTGGTATCACGGCCGACTTATCGCCTTTCGGTAACTTCGCGTGCGATTTGATATTAGGCTGCAAACCCTTTAGGATGTTCTGAAAGGAGAAAATGCAACGATGATAAATTATACTTCTGCAACTCTAAAGAAAATATATAATTTTAATTAGATTCAAGAAACACTCTGTATACGTCGAGTGGTAATGACTTTTTCATGTGCGTGACGACTCATGCGCGAATATATTATAATCTATTTACCTCCTTAATCGATCCTGGTGTAACTAATACGTAAGATATCGCATACGCCGGTATCCACATCATAGATGAGAAACTCAGGCACATACCAACTCTTTCTGCCCACGTCGGATACTCGTAATCATTGCCGTATTTGAGCGGTTTATACTGCACACATTGGAACACGAAGATGAACTGGAAAATGAAAGATATGAAATAATTATAACCAAGTCTGTAAGAAAAATGATTTTGCATCATTTGATATCATTTGTGTTTTCTAATTTACCCGATAACGGCTCGATGATAATATATATTCTCTGTAAATTCGTTAAAATAATTTGTTTCATAAATTAATCTTTTTATGAACACGTAGTTATTTCAGTCTATTATTATATATTTGATAGAGGAGAAGGTGGTATTATAGCCCCCCCCTCCCCATTCATATTTTGTACAATAAATTTGTTAATAATCAATACTTTAAGTTGAAAATTTAACGAATATATTAGTCAAAGTGTTGTTCAATCGATTCTAGACTCAAAGTTATGAGATATTTATATTTAAATTATTATTTAGAACGTTACTTATAAAATAAGTGTAGCGACACGGCATAATGAGTCGAAAAGGAACAGGGAATAGTAATATAGCCCCTCACTAAAATAAATTTAAAAAATTGATTTTGTTTAAAAAATACAGTGTTTTGTGACAAATTTATACATTGAGAAAAACTTCCATCGGATAAACCGATTACATGATGTATCCGATTGTTATTTTTGTCGTCCAATCAAGTGATAGACACGAAATGCTCGAAAATAAAAATACGTTATAATAAATGCCAGCTATTATGTATTGGCATATTAGCGCCACTGTGTAACGTTAGGTTACTAAACAAATCAACAATGATTCCATAAGTAATCGCTAGAATTTGTCACCTAACAACGGAGATAAGAGAGGCCATAATACCACTTTCTCCTCTAATTAGTACAGATTCGGTAGGATACTTACAGCCATGATGATCGGTGCGAGTAGGACCCAGGATATATACCAAAACTTGTTCAATCGAATTCCCATCATCTGATGCACGCAATCGCAGAATTTTTGCGCTCCGAAGATCCATGAAATAGCGATCGTTTGGAAGAAGCACACCCACAGAATAGACATTCCGCTCGCGGAGTAAAAGTCCATCAGTTGGAAAATGTAAATCCCGCCCTGAAATGCCAGAGCTCGATTGTTCTTTTTTCGATGAATTTTTCAACGTGTTTAGAACCTCAAAAGGTTCGTTATACATTCACATTATATGCGATACTAACGTTCGTGATCATCGGAATTCCCAGGCCGAACATTACCAAGCAGATAGCGATGGTGAACTTGATTCTGTGAGGACGAAGTTGATCCGGCCAGTAGTCGACCATGCCCGTTATAAAAGACTCCACGATGCAAAATTCGCTATCGATACCGAGTATCTGCATGAAAGTGAAGCAATTTGTATAGACTTCGTACACTTTAAATGTTACACTGAAATTACGACCACTGTTATATTCTAATCGATCCATGGTTCCTTATTTTATTAATAGATCTTGGATATATAGAGTAGATTATTCTTCATGAGAGATCAGTAATATGAGCCACAGATTAAAAGGCAAGCTCTCAGGATTCTTAGGAGGAAAAAGTCGAACAGATCTGACTGGAAAACATTCGTTATGTGAAACTTACAAATCGATGTAACTTACAAAAGATGTCCATACGCAGTAAACGCCAACTAAGAATAACATAACATTAATGTTATAATTTCCCGCTCAACAACGTAAATGCAATATAACGTGTTACGTAACATTTACATTATAGAGTGGGAGGTTATAATATTGATATTATGTTACTGTCAGTTGGTGTTCACTAGGAAATAAGATACAAGTGCCATTATCGAATTGTTTTATCACATTGGCACGATTTCATTCATAAGACGCCCCGATGAATATCATTCAATTTGCAATCGAATCGAAAACAGGAATATTATTTTATTTTTTTATTATTGTGTTTTTTTTTATTATTATTTTTTATCTTTCGGAGCTCTTTAATTTGTCGTTGATTTCGTTTCATATAAACATACCAACGCCAATTATTCCTGGCGGAAGAGCAAAATGATACGATATCGATTAAATCGTGACGCGTCGAGATAAATTACCCGCCGAGGGCGACAACGGGTGTCCCTATTTTAGCGACGTTAACAAACATAGACGGCGGCAGCCGATACCGTCGTTGGAATAACAATTTCTTACGAGCAGCATAACGAAGAATATAATGGCCCACAACGAAGCACCGGGTAGCTTGAGAACGACCTCGGGATACGTGAGGAACACAAGACCAGGCCCGCTCTTGACGACCTCGGACACCTGCGTTTGTTGTTCCTGGGCGATGTGACCCAGTATCGAAAAGGTTACGCAACCGGCCAGAAGACACGTCAGGGTGTTGACTACGCAAGTGATTATTGCGTCTCTGCAAGACAAAACTCCCTTTTTGAAAGACTCCAACAGCGACGACACTGTGTGGGGTGTGCGTCGTGATTAAAGAATAGACTAAAAGTCACATAGACTCTACCGATATTTTCTCTACTCGTAATTCATGATGTGCACGACGGATCAATGGAATCCGTGGTAACTAGCGTTAAGGGGACACACGTGGCTTACTCGAGAGGTTTGGAGCTCTTTGGAGAAAAACTGCACAATCGCACCATCGAACAAATTAATTCGATTCTATCATCGAGGATATACGGGAAAAAAGTTTGATTGAATTAACCAGAAAGTGGACAACCAAACGCGTTTTGATTAAAGGGAACCGAATTTCTGGTTACAAGAACCATTATTATAGTTGCATGAAATATAATAATAATGGTTTTCATAACCAGAAATTCTGTTTTGTTCAACTAAAATGCATGTGCACAACCCACGCTTTCGTGTGTTATCCAAGTTTGCGGAACGCTCTTTGTTCTCCATCTCGCTAATCGTATGAAAACTATTTTAACACATCGATACTTTAGCCGATGAAAAATCGGTTTCCGATCGGCTAAGTGAACCGTTACGAGGATTTATCGCCGCTGTGGCACGACAGCGACCTGTCGAGGAGGACGGCTGCGATCGTACGCGAACGGGTTCGCGTCTCTTACCTGTAACAATTATGGTGGAACTTGTTGTAGGAGCCCAAGGCGGGCAGGGCACCGGTGCCAATACTATAAGCGAAGAAGATCTGGGTAGCGCCGTCTATCCATGGTCCGGGCGTGAGCAATTCCTCCCATCGCGGCGTCACATAGTAGAGCAAACCGTCGTAGGAACCCTCCAACGTCACCGCTCTTCCCAAAAGAATGAAAAGCACCACGTACGGGAACAAGGCTGAAAACCAGATGATCTTACCGCTCTGATGAAGACCACGCCGGATGATAAAGTAAACGAGCAGCCAGCCGACAATTAGGCAGCCCAGTAGCTCGCATTGGATATTGCCGATGGACTCAATGCCGGAGGTAATGCCGAGAACTCGTTGCCTGAAAATTCAGAAATCAAAAACTCAAAGCCATCCTCCGCGATTGGAGTACACATAAGTCTAAAAATAACGCTGATATTCAACCTTGCCAGTTCGACGTTTCTTCCCACCGACTCGTAAAAATTTAATTATTTTTAAACGATATCGTTAAAAATAACGTTAAAAAATATATATAAATATCGTTAAAAATAATTTACTTTAAATTCCTTAGAGGGAAATTTCAATCAATAAGTAAAGTGATAACCGAGCTATTCGAATACGAATGTTTTACTTATGTAGAATGAAGTCTCCACTCTAAATCGTTGAGTAAATATTTTCATTCTGAATTGAAAAACGGACCTGATGTACTCCACCGTTACAGGAACAAATCCACTCTAATCGATCGAAATATTCATTCGCATGGAGTGAGAATCCACTTTAAGCTTGAGTGATACATTCAATCTTGTGATTTCGAGTGGCAGTATTTTTATCATCGCTATGAATTAATTTTTTAATTGTTTCTAATGAAATTTTATTCTGAGAAATTCACAGATAGTTATTTACATTTACTTTGAAATGTTAAGCACCTAATTAATGCAATATTTATAATAATGTGTGAAAAATATTAACGTTTGAAAAATTAGTTGAGAGGAACGAAATCGACTGGAACGAAACGCAATGTCGACGTAGGCCTTGATACAGGACTGCAAAAGGTTAATATTAGAAGGGTGTGAAGGACGATGGTCAACGTGTGAAAAATCTCTATCGTTATTTTGCAAATTATATCTATAATAAGATGCGCGCAATTATCGGATTAAATAGGAACAACTGATTGCGTTTCTGCGTCGCAATGATTGCCCGTGCCGTATATTACTACCGATGCGAAGTAATTAGCTTAAAAATGGCTTTTACACGAAGCACATCTAATCCAACGTGCTTATATTAACTTGATAAAAATCGCAAATTCGCGATGCATGCGCACAAACGCGTGCTCCCCCGAGGATATTGTCGTCGATATTATGTATCATTACGTAAGTACATTTATATGCGAGCGAAGTTGCTTTGACCTGATTTAAGAAAATCAATGTCGTGTTTTCTGATTTTTACGTCGAATCCCATAGTACCTTACATTTTCCATCACAAGCATTCCAAAACTCTCAAGGGACTCGTATGGTCGTTGTGTATACGTATTTGTGTAGTGTTTTATTAATCAAGAAATTTCTGGGTTCGAACAGTTTTCCGGCCTCAAAGGAAATGAAAATGGAGAGAAGAGTGAAAAGAAGTAAAACCTGAAGTTGTTTGATCAGTATTTTCGTTGTTCTGTGCAGTGAGCGATATGTCGCGATTATTTCTTGAAAGTGCTTTACTTACTCCCAATATTCTTCCACCGGTGTGGTGTGGTGGCAGGTATTATTTCCAGAAATCGTGCAGTTCGTTTTTCCGTGCATACCATCGCTCTCTTCGGCCGCATCGAAACAATCGTCCGTGTTCCACCAATTTTCTGGAGAAACGTAATGAGACGTTTCGCAACAAACTTACATTTTACATTCAATCGTCGTTTTCTAATATCGTATTATGATGGTTATTATATGAATATGGTTTCGGAGACGTAATAAAAAATATTTCTAAATATTTTTATAAATCTCTTTCTCATCTTTTAAGTGACCCTATTATATGAAATATCACAATACAATCATATATATTCCGAGTATATTTAGGAAATTTCGAAATATTCAATAATTTCATCTCTTAATAAATGTATAATAATTAAGAAATATGCCGCTCACTACATCCGCTCCAAGGTACTCTGGGTATATTCACAAACGTGCTTATGAGGTAGAAAAGTGTCCAGGAGATAATTATGCAATAGTACACGTCGAGGAAGAATACAATAGTCATCGTGGCATACCCCACACCTGAAATTCGTCGTCGATACATTACGATACGTGTCGCGACAGTGACATATTGCGCGATAACTATTTCATCATTTGACATATACTTTCATGTTAAGGATATATAATGTCTGAAGATAAAATACCTTGCAAAAGGGGGCATAGTTCGCCCACTAACGACATTCCGCCAGCTCCGAGGTATTGTCCGATAGCGACTTCTTGAAAAAATATAGGGATTCCGCAGAACAGCATCGCGATGCCGTATGTAATCAAGAAAGCACCTGCCGCAAAATTTCAAGTTGTATAAAAATATCAACTTGCTGAATAATAATTATTTACTCTCGTACATCCAAGATAAATATAAGTAATTTTGTTATCCGCTATTAGTAACCCGAATGTACAAATATAATCGTGCCGTTCTTTTCGTTTCTATCGAATATATTTTTCTGATAATAATCGTAGATAATAACGAATATAAAAAGACTTAATTAAAGGTGAGGTAATTAAGCTCGGGAAAAGATACTAAATCTTAATGCACGTCGCTTTCATCATATTAAGGATTGCGTGACTTCGTAAACCAGAGGAGCAATTATGAGCATCGCACGCCGCTGAAATCCGATGCTTCCTGCGTCCTCGACTTACAGCAGCGAACTCTGAGCTCTAACGAAGCTAAACGATACGACAGATTTGATGACCTTACATTAACATAAAAGAGACGTCTTCAAAATTAGGTTTTAAATTATAAACAATATTTCTATATTTCTTCCAACTATAAAAATATGCCTATATGATTTTCCCCGAGACAATTGTGCTACACTTCGACAAAAAATTCCAATGAAGTAATACATAAATGCCCGATATAGTACATAATATAATTATAAATTCATGAAAGGTTTGTAGAACGCTTCGGAGAACCGTTTAATTTGCTCGTCCGTGCAGGGTAAAAAACTTTGCGTAAATAACGGTCCACTGAAATTTTTGTGTTACTTTAACATGGAAATTTGTCCAAAAGTATACAAATACACGTTAAATTAACATATTCACTTGGTTAATATATTACTTTCTAACACACTCACCTTGTTGAAGTAACGCCAAAGTTTCAGTGGGCCGTTATTTACGCAAATTTTTTTTTACGTGAATTCGAAAACGTCGACTTACCGCCGCCGTTTTTGTAACAAAGGTAAGGGAACCGCCAGACGTTTCCCAAGCCCACGGAAACGCTTATGCAAGAGAACAGGAAGTCGAGTTTGTTGTCCCAACCACCGCGTTCGGCGTCCTGCTCTCGGTTTTCGGTAATCTCGGTCATCTTCCCCTGTGGCGAGGACACCGTCATCTTCGGCACGGAGCGGGACGCTTCGCGTCTCTTCTCCGTCCCCACCAACTTGGCCTTGAACTCTATGAAGGTCTGATCGGGATCGACCTGATCTTTCTCCTCGCCCCAATAATACATTTTTTCCGCCATGGAGTCTGAAACATGTCGAAAAAGTACACCGAGTATAGAGAGGAGCGCGGCGGTGCTTGGGCGTAATTGGAAGAATGAGACGCAGTTTCGCGTGACCTTCGCGCGATAATCGATTTCGTGTAATCGATCATTATAAAATTGTTCCGCCTTGCTGCGATGTTTTCAAGTAATCCCGCTCTTTTGAAAAGGACGCACGCGATGTCCTAAGGTAAACGATAAAAGATTCATATATTTACACGATATGTGAATAGACTTCATGTCGCCGCCGTATATAGTTTCTCTAAAAATAAATCGCTAATAAGAAAGTCAGGAAGAGACAAAATTTGTATGAAATTAAATTTTCAGCGTCCCTCCTATTTCTTCCAGATTTTTTCGTTATTATTAGATTTCTCCACAAATACTCTCGAATGTCCCCTTAATCTTTACTTCATTCTTTAAACCTTTCTCTAACAATAATAATTTTGTACATTCATGAAATTCTGCAAAATGCCCATTAGTTTCATTTAATTCGTCTGTTTGCTGTATTTCTACTAAATTACCTCCGACGTGAATCAGTCCAGTTAGTTTTTATGGCAATGGCGGATTTCTGAGAAGTCATTTAATGTGAATAACGTATTCTAAATGGCAGTATTTTGTTGTGACCTTTATTGCATTCACAGAAAAACGCGATGCGCTTGATAAATATTACCGCCCACGTTCCGATAAGATCTGGCACACAATTGTGAGCCGGTCGATTACGAATGTCGTTCGGGGATTGCTTTTCCAATAATCGGCTTCGTTTCATCCACCTCGCTGATTTTCGATATGGAAACGGTATCGACTGTACATTTCGTTGACCTTCGGTAATATATCGCAAAATGACGTAATACGTAGTATTAGTATTTTTAGAATATATGGAACGATTAATTGTAATTTCAATAAACCTCGATAATAATTTTTAAATTATTATGTTTAATAATAGTTTTCATTTTTCCAAACAAGAAGACTATCTTTTTGAAAAGGGAGCTTTCCTCCACGAAAAACCAATTGAACATTGTTATTCATTTTCTCTCTCTTTTCAGCGGATTTTTAATATTCGACATCAAACATTTTAATAATAAATTTCCCGGTTCTAGAAAAATTTCGTTAAAGGCCACCTGGAAAATTTACGGAAAATATAATTCTCTTTTTTACCTGCGTCGTTGAGCACCTTTCGACCTTTCGTATTGGTTTTCACGCCAGTGTCGCTAAAATTAACTAGAATTTCTTCGTTTCCTCTTGCACCGTTACGGGCGAGATTACAATCCGAAAAAAGAAGCAGCTAATTATTCAGCCAAGAGGCCGGCTCAATGCCGGGGTGCCGCGGCTTAAAAAAGGCTTAGACATTTCCCGGATCATTGTGTCGCTCGACACGTTTCTTCGTCACACGCTTAGCAACGACGCGCATTCAGCGTGTCACCTTTCATCGGTAGTAGACCCAGCAATAGCAGTACGCAACCGGTTCCTTCTTATTCCACGTATCACGACCATTCGTGCGTATTATCCCTTACCACAACGCGCGTTCGTTAGCTCGCGCGTCCGGTCATTGAAAACCCTCCCCTCCTTAACGAAACCCGCCCTGCCTCTTCCTCATTGTGCCGGACCAATTCGGGGCCGAGGCTGAAGAGGGTGCACGTGCTAAGTTGTGCATATACACACACACACACACATGCGCGCGCGTGCGTTAAATACGTATGTGGGTGCGCGTGTGTGTCACGTTCGCGTCCGTACGCGCGCATTTGCGCCGTTCGGCTGTGCGCGCGCTTCACTCCACGCGCTGGATGCTGAACGCAAAATCAATATCAAGTTTACATCGCGTCTACGTACATACACGTGGATCCCGTGAATCCCGTCGTGAAATTCGTACACGACACAACGCGAGCGGGCGTTGAATCGGCTCGCGATTGCGTCAGAAAACGTGCTGGTGCATTAATGAGAGATACACGCGAATATTTTAAAAATGGAAAAACCTCGCGTCCGGAGATGAATATACATGCGAAAAAGAAAATGAAGAAACACGGTAAATTGAACAAACGAATGACGAGGCGAGAAATGGCAATCGCAGAAACGTGGGTGTACGTCTAATTTTAGAACAAGAAGAAATGTTAAAGCCGGCTGTTAGTGGCTAACAATGACTTTTGATATCCGCGCCGTGTATTAATGAGGTTGGGCATTACTTGATATTGGCAGAAGTAAAATTACCTAGTCTCGATATTTTTAGCGTTTAAATGCTTCTTTCGAATTGTATTGAAGCTTTCATCCGAAGCGACGTTTTCCAATGATGCGACGGATAATGCAAGAGAAATTATAATCGCGCGTATTTATTACTCGAATATACGGCAGATACGCGTTTAGAGGCAATGATTGACGAGTTCATCGTCGAAGGGCCATATTACGCGACACCACGTTCATACCAGCCCGATAATTACCCTAGACGGTGCCTCTGGACGGGATGATTGAGTTGCTTTTACACCGTACGCCTAATTGCGCGTAGGAAATACATGCTCGTTAAATGAATGGCGTAGGTCGTGTACGCATATAATCTTAATTGCTACAAGACGCGTGTGTACCTATCGATTAAGACAGCTATGCGTTAAGCGAGGCGATTTGGCGTTCGTAGCTGCGAATTACCGTGCAATATACGCCACCCTTAAATTTGCAGCTTCGCACACATGCAATTTCCGCGATAACTGAAACGTAATCTCACTCCCGAGAGGCGCATCTGAAAATAACGCACGTTTCAGTCGGAGGGAGATCCCTTGGTCGTTGTTCTCTCTCCCTCCCCGCGTTGCAAAATATAAAATTTCACTTGAAGTTTAGAAATTTCGCATTTCATCCTCAGGCAGCGAAGCGAACGTGAATATTTACGTATTACATACGCTCGTCTTCCAATTAGTTAAATAAGAGCTCCTTACCAAAGAGTCCGCGCAGAATTCCGATGTAACAGTCGTGACCGTCGAATTTCCGTGTCTCGTGATGATGGCCGCACAATCTGCTATTGCGCGTAATAATTACATCGTTCGACGGAGCGGACGTTCGTTACGCCGCGAAGGATCGTTGACGCCCGACTCTTTCTCTCTCTCTCTCTCTCTCTTCGCTTCAGCACCAAATCTCTCTCCCTGAATTCCACCCGGACAAGTTTTCCAGACTGGAAAATCGATTCCCGGGGCGACTCGTGCGGCTCCGCTTCTCCGAGGGCGACGTTCGCGAAGGAGCACTTTCGGCGTGGACCGATGTTTGTTTCGTACGTCGTGTTTATCACGAATACCTGCGACCTACCCCACAAGAGATGTAGTTACAGAATAATGCTCTGGTTCAAGATGGGGTATGTTAGCCCCGTCGGACGCATGCGCCCTTTCGGCCGTTCCACCCCACCAAACGACGGAGCGGAGTCCTGGAGGTCGGTCGGAGGCGCAGGACTTTTTATTCGATAAATAATCAAAGAAGACGAGAAAGCTGCTGCGCGATATCACCGCGCTTCGTAAAGCGCTCTTTTAAAGATGCTGAACCGAGAAAATAGTTGGCTTTTCATTTATTTCTCCGTTCGCTGCCGTGGAATCCGCAGTAAATATGATTCCCTCGCGATATCGTCACCGTGCGTCTGTGTACGCACTGACCGGCGAAACGTCGCGAAAGAGTCGCGAACTTTCGTATCGATCGCCTGCGCTCGCTAAAACTTCGCACGCGTTTATTTATAAAAAGTTTGTATAAAGTATACATAATTCTATCAATACAATCGACATTAGGCGGCACGCGATCTTGGGGTTACGTAACGTTGCGTTACGCCCTTTACGTAACGACTGCGCTTCACTGTGTGCTCATCGAGCGTATGTGGGACATTTTTCACCGCGCTCGCAATTATCGCGAAACCCACGGTCGAGCAATATCGTTCTCTCAAAGAAAAACGGGATCATAAAAATACACGCTCTGTATTCTTCTGCAAAGTACTTCGAAAATTTCGTGTAAACTTAGCGTAAAAAATATCGAGGGAGGGGGACTACACGGAACTTGGCGATATACGAGCCACGTCGCGGTTCTTACGCGAATTGAACCGAAATGTTTACGAGCTGCTTTCGTGTATAAATTTGCCTCGCGTTAAGTACGATTCAATTATCGAGAGACACATTTAACGAGGAGCACTCGGCAAGCACCGACGGATCCTTTCAGTGTTCACTCGACTGTTCGCTGGAATTGCTGGGTATTATGGTGTGACAGCCGCGCCGATGTCGCGCTTGCTTCGCGGCGATCTTATCGGAATCCTGAAAACGACAACCGGCGTTACAGTTATGCGCCGCGTCTTCGGCTATCCGACAGAAGCAGGAATTCCTTCGGAATCTGAACGAAATTCCCAGGGAATAGCGGCTTCTTGCTTCGAATATAGAATGGTTACGTCAGCGAACGTTCGCGCAATCGAAGCTTATTGTTTCAATCGTGAAAATAACATAACGACTATATTGTTATTTAAAGCGGCTAGGAGAAAAGCGGCGAAAGCTGCAGACTGTTGTGTTTTTAACATAGAAATGGTCGCGGTGTTAGTCATTTAGGGCATTGAGAGGAAGGAGGTGTCTCGAGCGATGGAAAGAAAGTTCGCCTCTTTTTGTCCGCTTACCGTTACCTGAATGTCGTTTACACCTGCCACCGTGTGAAAGGACTTCATCGATATCTTTCGGTGGGCTTCTTTGAACGTGGCGAAATTCGCCTGTGGTATCCAGTTAGTCCTGTAGGAGATCGGACGCACATCCGCTGACGCCGGACAATTCATGTCGACCGACATCTCCGAGGGGGTATCGTCGGAAATCGAGCCGATCTCGCTGCCCTCCATTGCCATATTCTCCTCCATTATCATTGCCTCTTCCGTTTCGAACCTGAAAACCGTATGAAAATTTTACTTCTATCACTGCGTGATATCAACATATTATCCGTCTGTAATATCTCTCTTGAAGCTTTAACAAAATTGGATCGGATCCGGCAGGATTCGTATTCTAATGCTTCCTCGCACGCGCTTGTGAAGCGTTATATTTCGGATATTTCACATATATTACGACATATTTTATTTACTTTTAAATATCTTCTATTTATTTATTTTGAGAATAAAAAGTGCCTGGTCGAAAAAATTAGTTGAAAAAACTACAACATGCTTCTACCACTTGAATTCGATCCACCTTGTTATACACGTGACTGCATGAATCTTGTTATTCGAGCATAATCATTCAGAGAATTTCTCTACGTTTCTATCATTAGCGTTGAAATTGTGATTTTTTTCAATTCGAAGGCCGCTTATATTTCGATTTGGATACTGTACGTCGATCGAAAATTGTTAAAGTGAAGGAAGATAAAAATAACGAAAGGAGAAAATATTTTCCAAGCAACAATCCATCATACCACCATCAGAGGCGATACTAACTCTTCCCATGGCAATTTCACGTAACAAGCTATCATCACGAGTGCATTTCCCACTTTGGTCAGGACATTTTTTATGAAAGTTCCCACGCGATCCATATAAACCGCAAATCCTAGTGCGGTCAGCGTCATCGACATTGCGATGATCCAGCTGATAAATTCGGTCGACACCACCGATGGTTGCACATGAGCCGGGTAATACGAGGACCAGAGGCGTTGCCACCAGGCGCGATGTAGAATCTCTCGATGCTCAGATTCCTACGTCGATCATAACAGACTCTTCAAGATACCATATTCGACAAATAACTGCCTTATGTCAAATAAGACGAGCATCTCGATGATTTTAAGTCGAACATATTTTTAAAAAATTCTCGCGTCTCGGAAATATTTATGTTACCGTACTCTACATTGGAATACTAAATGCCATTAAGAAGCCGGGATAAAAGATAGGTAACGTCCGTCTTTAATTAGTGAAACTCTGAGTTAAGAGTTGTTTTATTAAACAGATCAGGTCAAATTGCCGGGCCGTTACTCGCGCTCTTATTTTACGAGACTTTGAGACGCACTCTCCTCCGGTGATATAATTCCAGAAAGCTATTTCTTGCTTTACCCAGAGAGACCCTTCGTCTCTTTTGTACAAAAGCGAATTGTTGACTGATCCTAAGTCTAGGTCGCTTGCGAGAGAAAACGGTTCAACTTATAAGTGGAACGATTCTACTCACGTAACTCCAATAATGCCAGACGCTGCAGTAGAGTATCCTCTGAAGGATCAGCCACAGCCATAAAAGCACATTAATCGTGAGCCAGCTGACCGATACCTTGAAAGACACGCGAGTACGTGAAGGATCGTTAACTGCATATCGTACAAGTCTCCATACCTGCAAACCTCTGTACACGGAAGTCGCGCCTAAAAGGTGCGAGAGCCGCTTACTGGCCGGCGGATGCTTCCACAGGACGACTATCGCTGCCGTCAGGATCACGATGGAGGGCAACGTATGGATGAAATCCGGCCCGACCGCGATCCTAGCGTACTCGCGGAAGACCTTATGTCGCAGAAGCAGTAGCTCCTGAGGCACCGAGAACAAGGTCGTTATCTGCCAATACAGTGCGTTCAGGCAGAACATCACAGACGTAGCCACGTGTCAGTTCGATCCTTCGGGGTTTTCCGACACCGCGAAAAAATGAATCACGGTTACAGTCGCGGCCGCATCCAGTCATGTCAAAGCGCGCGCGGAAATGCGTGACGTGCGCGCTGAAATGAACCGCGAAAGCGGCGTCTGTCATCTGTTCGTAAGAGGAAGCGAATGACACGAATGGGAACTTCGCGATGGACGCGAAGGATATGCCAAAAACTCGCCGAGCCCAAAGTACAGGCGTTGGCTACGCATCGCTATGATGCAACTGTCATTTAAAATGGACTTTAATTATTAATTATTGAGTTGAAAGTTACAAAACTGCGCGCTTCAGTTATGCATAAATTTCCGGAATAGATCGTTCATTCACCGTTATATCGAGTTAATTGAAATTGAAAATGAAGTAAAGAAAGATTGGCGCGTAATCGAGTTTTACAAAGAAGAAATTTACGATGATGCAGAAAATCGCGCGCGCGCGCGTGTGGGTGTGTATGTGTGTGAAAGAAAGAGGGAGAGAGGAAGAAGAAGGAAAGATATTCACGAGCAAAGTATTAAACATATAAGCAGTTATTTATTCGTAAAAAAAATGGTCGTAAAAATGCATCTACCTTCGATTAGATATGTGTTCGGAACGATATTGTTATATACAACTATATACATAATCGACTTAAATGATTAACAGTCTATATAAGGAAGTAATCGGGTCCAACGAAGGATCCGCATTTGGGGAAGTCCTGCGGCGCAACTACCATGTCGCTAGGATCCCCGACTTGTAGGATAACATCTAAACCGCGAGTCCAATCAGCCGCGTGTTCATCTCGTAACATCCAATAACCTATAAAACCAAGTGAAAGTAGCAATTCCATGAAATTGTTCCGCAAAACCGGTGCTCTTATGTAAACTACTTTACATTATCAGGTCAGTCGTTCATTATCAAAATGTTTGACGAATTTGCAATTGATCGTCCTTAACATTGACTTATTGACGGAGAACTCGTTATTTTTAGCAGCTTTCCAAGTATGCATATCGGATATCTCTTTGGAACAAATGTTATATATAAATTTATCAAAGTAAAGTTCACTTTTGAAAGGACATATTTTATCGTCCATTGAAACCCGGCAAAGTTTGGCTCGCACGAGAAATTTTTATTTTCAACCCTCGATAACTCACAAAAGCTCTTTATATTATAAACTAGAACTGTTGCTCCAATATATCATTAACAATCAATCTGATAAAATAAAGGCACCCCGTAATCTTGTCATCTAATGTAATTTGTATCAAGACAGAAACCTACAAAGAAACTTAATTGTGAATAATTTACCCGGATTATCAGCTTTAAATCGCAGTGCCACGGCACCAAATTTGGGCACAATTACGGTATCCTTGGCCGGTGCACAGTCAAGATTTCGCGAGAACAGTTGCCTTCTCCCGTCCAGATTCTTTATATCCTGCAGTGACATACTTCGTCCGAATTGTCTGGCACCCACCACATAGAAACTGTAGCCATGCAAGTGATAAACCAAATCGTCCAGACCACCTATCATAAAATGACGATGAATTATCATACACTTATTATTATATTGTATTACCTGATTATTTAGAAAAATACGGAACAAAGATAAATGCGTAGGTCTAATAGGCTGAAAATTGTCATTAGATAGAAGGTTAGTAGAAATACGGTTTCACGAGAGACATTGCAAACTTGGTGCTTGATGCGACGATCAGTTCGCACACGCTTTAATTGCGAAGCTTTATAAAGGAGATCAATTGTTTCGTGCGTGGTCGTTGGGAATCACGGGCTTTCTTTTAATCCCAGTGTCGTCGCGTGGTGTCGCAAAATATCGCGATGACACGCCAAATATCGTTCCCAAGGAAAGTAGTGATGTACAATGTATCTTCTGCCGAGGAATGATTTATAAAAGTAGAGGAAGTTTCGATCAATAATTCCTCTTGCGGCAAATGCTGGATGTAGATCAAGGACATCGAGATCCCTCGGTCAAGCCTATATGCTATTGTGCGCTAACGTCCTCCCTTATCTCATGCGTCGCCCCTCTCGCTACAAGATTACCCCAAGCTCGTGTGAGCGATCGATTAATACTTACGTAATAATTGATCTAACGAGCCGTCGCGCGCGACCTTGCACGGAAGAAAGCACTCTTTCGCCTGATTAAGGATGTTGTGATACAATGAAAATATCGGTATTAATATTGAAACGGGTATCCAATCAAGATAATCGATATTATTAATGATACCAGTATCAGAACGAAAGTATTGATACCGATACTGGTATTGAAATTTAATCTATTAGAAAAACTTAAAATCAGAGGAAATATAAAAATCAGAGAAATGTTTGTCCTGCAAGCTACTTTTATAAGAATTTCACGTCTATGCATAATTATCTTACTATGGTATGCAAATGTGACAAAATCGTAATATCGTAATAGATAAATCAAAAGATTAGAAAGGAAAGTCATATTAATTTTTGCATGTCATATTAATTTCACGGTTACTTATTGATCGTTAGAGCAAAAAGAGGAAAGTATTCGGAGTATTTTGCTAGTGTGCTGAATCGATCATAAATATTATTTTGTGGATATATCTGTCTATTTGAACGCACACCGCAAGAACTCTCGGCATGCGTTTTCTCGTTTCCGACATCATCAAACAAGACTACTACAGCGTGCGATCATGAGCCTTTAATATCTACCTTATGATCAGCGAACGAAGAGAACTAGACTTTTGCGCGGATCTCGCGAAATCGAGTCGAGAGTTTCGTTTGCCCGCGGGGATGAAAAATCTGCACTCTCCGTCTGCAATGTTTCCCGCTTTCTACGTCCCGCACAAAGCAAACGCAGACGATAAACATGGCCGTTGGGTAGAGGGGAAAAACGGACATGTGAGGAGAAACACACGTGAAATCCGGGAAAATACGGGACAATCGTGTCACATTGCGAACAGACATATCGATTACTTCGGAATGAGACTAATTACCTTGATCTAAGAGAATAATCTCTACGGTCGCTCCGAGCGGCACGTGACGCACGTGCACGCATTCGCACATGTCGCTCGTGCCGGTGGCGTCGCCGGCAGCACGGCATCGACGTCGCGGCACAGTCTCGTTGCTCTCACCGCGTTCGTCCTCGTTGCCGTCGTGCTCGCTGTTGGAGCACAGCATCCCCGGGGACACGTCGCCACCCTGCGTCAACAGCGGCGACGACGGAAACGTGAAAGTGGCGTTGTCCACATTCAGCACTCGTGTCTCCGTCCCGCTGTTACCTGAACAGAAAAAAACGGCACTCGCTCTGCAATTGGAGGTCCGGCCCAGTTCTGCCGCGTAGACTTCACATTAATCGCCTGTCGTCTCATCGATGGGAAGTTAATCGCACTTTACTTTCGCGCCGTTTCTAAGCGCGCACGACCACTTCGATACGAGTTCAATTGCGACCGTTGTTTCTTCGATCCGCGAGCATCCGAAGTTTCTTTCCGTACGCGTAATGATTCCGATACATAATGACGATGACTGCATAAGCTGCTATTGCCCTACTTCCGATACTTTTGTGAATAGCTGGTCATTTCCAACGCTTATACGCGATCTTATATGCCTGTAGGTTTAATGAGAAATCAACATTTGTTGCTTTCGGCGATACTCGGACTTTTTCATTCCCGCCACTCATTACTTTAACGAGCGATTCTTGAAGAAACTCCCTGTATCCTCCGAATATCGTTTTGTTCTTTAGAAAGTCCTCAGATGGAGCTTCTTTAGAATTCGTTTTCGTCTTTTGGAAATTTCATAGTTACGCGCGCACCTTCAATTACCCGTCGCTCGGCGAAGACATTAATCGCGTCTGAAAATTTGCAAAAGAAGAAGCACGAGAAGCGATTTCGAGGGCAGTGAAAGCGCGCGCGCGTCTTCTTAACCGGAATATCCGTGGACTATCACATAACAGAGGAAATTTTCAATAACCCGGACTCGAATGTTGTACAAAATCCTACAGAAAACGCGATTTCTAACCGGTGAAATTTATGCGGCACGATTGTTATTCCACGTTTAATCATCGTTGCATGCCTGCTCGCGCTAATTAATACCTAACGGCTGGTAAATTACGGACGGGCCGCGACTTAATTAATAACTTTCACTCCCATCAGAAACGTTGTTGCTCTTCTCCGTCCCCTTTTTTTCTCTTCCCTCCTTTTGCACCGTTACTCACCTATCAATTCCGTCACCTGCATTCTGTAGTTAATTGGCAGATACATAGTCACGTCCATCTTGGGCTTGGCCAGGAAGCGCGGCATCTTGCGTACGTTTTGCATGTCGGTGACGCACAGGTTCTCGCGGTTGCCGCATTTCTCCACGGGATTCGTCGTCGCGGCCAACCTGCTCGTCTCCATCTCGTCGACATCCCGCTGATCGAACGGCTCCGCCGTCATCGCCGCCGGGATCTCCGAACTGCCTTTATAGTTGAGCACCGCCGCTCCATTAATCGCGCTCGTCCCACATTCTTTCGCTGTATGAACGTTCATCCAGTAGGAAGCGATGCGTTTGCTCGCTTTCAGCACGAAGTCCGCCCTTTCACCTTTAACGAATATCAAGAACCGCACGTCATTCTCGCCGTGGCGGCGGCGGGGAAACGGGGACATGAAGTTTCATCTCGCGCGCGCTAGGAAAAGTCAACGTTGCGGTCATCGATTTTACACGTAGAACTGCAAATCCCCCCGGGTTTCTTGCGATAAATCTCACGTCGTGGCTGATGGCGCGCCTCAAGAAAGTAAAAAGTTGCAGGTCACGTTTTTTTTGAGACTCGCTATTCGAAAGTGCAATCGACCGGTCGAGAGAAGGAAGAAGCGCCGCCGGATGACACGCGAAATAGATTTACGACTAGAGACTCCCGACCGACGAGACAGCGCAGAATTTCTACTTTTCAACTATGTCTTTGATATTAAAAAAAAAAAAAACTTAAGCTAAATAAGTAAAACCAGTTTCATAGAGAATGTACGTGCTTAACTTTCACGTGGGTGTCACGCTAACGCCAACGCTGGGTAGAACCCGAGAAACATCGTGCGTGTCATATTAGCGTCTAGAGAGATTTTATTACAGACAGAGAGAGAGAGAGAGAGAGAAGGGAAAAAGGGGAGAGAAAGGAAAGATTTAACGGGATCTTAACCTTTGGCCAGCGTTATCGAGGTGACTTGCCGCGGCTCTATGGGGTGTCCGTCAAGTGCAATCAGGAGAAGCGTGTGACCGTCGACGAACAGCGTCACGGGACACGCACCGGCGCCTCCAGCGTTAGCGACGCGGAACCTGTGACGTCGTCCGGGAACGACCGTGAATGTCGTGAGGGGTACCGTAGGTCCGCTAGGCTGACGACCCTTTCCATTGATCAGAAGAATCGCCGGTTTCATGTGACCCTGATTGAACGAGTTTTCCGGCAAGTGTTGCCACTGGGTCACTAGGACTACGTGATTAGGGTCGTCGATGTCGTAAAGAGCGCGATGGGGCTCCCGAAGGTCCGCTTGCTTCACGATAAGCGCGCCGAAAATGCCGTTGTTGACGTCAGCGCCTGAAAAGTTCCGTCGAGGAATGATTTCCGTCTCACATATGCTGGTTATTGCGTAATCCGTTGGATAAGATCTGTGAGACTCGTGATAAAAGGTCGCATATCGGCATCTCGGGTTCTTTGATCGTCAGAGCTCACCGATACCATTACATCGAATATATACATTAAATGATTTGTTCTATAAATATATAAATTATATATAACATTCAAAATTCGCATTACCACGGCAGGTTTAAACCCCATTCGGAGTAAAAGTACACGCTTCTACGTTCTGAAGTTTCGATCGATGAAATCTAAAACGAACTTAGCTTGTCGATAGATTGATAACGTCTTAATTAACAGTTTGTGATAATTAATCGTCGTAATTAACAGTTTATTGAATGTACACGTTATTCCGTGCTTCAGCGATCTTAAATCGTCGGATCTCAGCGAACTTCTCACTCGCATCGCGTGGATCACCGGTAATGTGCGATTGCGCTTCTCTCAACAGCAAAAATATCCGACGTTGGCGGATATTCCTGCGTGGGTCATCGGCGTTCACGCGACGCGACACGTTGACAATTGAATACATAAAAAGCTTATGTAAGAAGCTTGATTTCGAATCACATTACGGTTATTGCATACGTATGCGACAAAATGTGCAACATTGGTAAAACATATATTCCCTCCGTTTTTGCCAACTTTCGTTTAGCAGCAATCGAGAGTAAAAAAAAAAATTTACCATACTTATCTTTTTGAATCGTTGTGATGAAAAATCTCTGCGCTATCTTTCAATCATATATCAAATTTTCCACTTTATTCTTCTTGAAATATATTTCGTGTGGGTTGAATCATTTTCGTACATGAGTACGGCCAATTAACTTTATATATAGATTTAGTAGATATATTTATCAAATAAGAAATATGTTTAAATGCTCATTGCACGCGATTTTTAGGAAATCGATTCTTGCAGTCCGACTTTTTGGTAGATCGATTTCAATTATTTTGACTCAAGACCGATTCAAAAATCAATTTCGAAATCAAAAAAATCGCCCATCACTAATTCACGAATAGCTACGTAATGAGTAACGATTACGAACCTGCGTGTGCGTGCCAGAGATGTGTTCCGGGCATGGAGGCTCGAAATTTATATTGGAAAGTCGTGTAACTCGGTATTGGACACTGTGTCACCAAGGGCGCGCCGTCCATGTACGGCATTTCCACTTGCGTTTGTCCACGCCAATGTACCGCCATGGCTTTACCCGGAAGACGGTTGATCACATCCACAACTAGGATGTCGTTCTCGCAGACCTGTAAAAGCGCATAGCGTGTCTGACGGCTCACAATTAGTCGGAGGGAAAACGCGACTTGCCGGCCGTTCTTGAAAATCTTCCCGCGACTTTTCCTTCATTGAGATATTAATCCGCTCAAGTGGGAAGCGCAACTGGAATCTTAGAAACACGCGAGCGAGTATACCCAGTAATTATCTTCCATCCGAAACTTTATTGTGAATTTTTTAATATTTTATGAGGATTAAAAGATCATGTGGAGGAAATTCCTAATGCACGTGTAAGCCCAATCGATCGCTGTTGTATAAATTGAAGCGATGGAATCTGTTGATAAATGAAGACACGTAAACTATAGAAGCTATATTAGAAAGTTGCTATTTACTTTTTCGCAAGTCTATATACGCGATAAATGTGTAGGTAAGATAAATTCTCCCAGAAATCAATGTTACACACGTACTGTTCCTACATACATTAGCAAAAATGTTTTCAGCACTAATAATTATTATATTTTTCAAACTATTTTTATTGATAACTTTTTAATAAATAATGAGCGACGGCTAAAACGTTGGAAGTTACTCAATATCATAATATTGATAACATATGTCAATATCATTGACGTTTGAAGTGACTGATCTTAGATAAATATTTATCAAGCGCGCCGTATCTAATTTAGCATAAGAAATAGTTGAAAGCGACTAATAGACTGCATTCAGCAAAGCAGCTCAGTGAGCGCTCAATGATTATTGTCTGCAACTGGAGCATTCTTTCATATTCTTTTCGATAAATAAAAAGTATATAACAATCAGGAGCGATAATCACTAAGCGCTGCCTGAGCTGCTCTTTCCGCTAAATGCAGGCATTAACAGTTAAAGTAATTGGTTCGTAAAATACTGGATTTTCAGTGGCGATATTAACACGTTAAGTGCCGCGCCATTTCACAAGACTTTCCATTCATATTATGTAGACCACTAATAATCCACGATTACTGCATTTTTATATATTTTTATTATATATCTTTATGATATTTATTAGGCTACACACAAAAATCATTATTACGAAGCGAAGAAATAATGTGAGATATGCGTTATGCAGCCTGAAAAAAAAATCCAATATGGGCCACCGATAATCCCTATTTAAATTTATTATTTACTAAAAAAACATACTTTCCTACTTTTTTGACTATCTAAGCAATAAATGTTAAATTTAAGCAACATTAAGACAAACATACACACAATATTACACAGGGATATTATTTATTATCCATTATTCTTATTAATGCTTTATTTATACGCTATGAGCTATTAGAGATACATAAATTATAGAAAATGGTATATAAATATTTAAATATGTAAATATGTATATACATGCACACACATCGCAGAAGTATTACTATAAATTATAAATTTCCTATGGCTACTTGCAAAACAAAATGATAGATAATTTTAAAATCTTTTTATAGAATGCCTCTATATTAGTTTCTATATCAGTTCTTGCTATCACAGTAGTTTGTCATTAAAATTTTAAAAGTAGTTTAGAAGAAATTAAAAATACAAAAGTACAAAATAGGACATTAACCTCAAAAAAAAAATATATAAAAAGTATCATCTTTAGTTGTGAATATCTCAGCTTCTGAATAGTCAATCGTTTCCTAACTTTATAGACGTGTAAATAATATTTTCATCAATATGCAGCTAAAATTTAAGAGAATATAATTCGACAGACTAACTATTTTAACTCGACAAAGTGAAATAAAATATCTAGTCTCGAGATCAACGTTTCTAGAGCTTCGGAACCTTCACAGACAAGGAACATCAATCAGAGGCCTGACATAACTTCCTTCACTTCAAAGTGTTCGCGAGGTTTAAACAAGACACGCGCGTGAGATTGTTTCCGTGAATTCAAGCAGAGTGATTAATTACAGAGGGGATATATTGTGTACACTCCTCAATCACATGTCACGCAAGGATTAATTTTGATGCTACATAGAATGCTCAACCTTCGTTGCGGTTGAAGGTTGCCGATTGCAACAGCACGCTGGGGTTTCAATGACGAAGCCATGTCGAGTTGAGTCACATTCGGTTATGTAAAATCTATGCAACAGCTCTCGAAAATTATTATCAAAAATATACCTAAGATCGTCAAAATATTAAAGAATTATTTTCAGAATATCTCGATTTTCAATGTAGAACACGAAATCTTTCATATTTTATCAAATTGAATTCAACTCGTAAAATTCTACATCATAAAATTCTACACCAAAAAACGCAAAAATCGTATAACTTAATATAGAATACTTCGAGAATCATATAAGGAAATATCTTGAAGCGTCGACGAATCGTTTATGCGAGAGAAACAGTTCTAATTGAATATGAAACGAGTGATGAAAAGTAATGAGCGACATCAGAAAAGTCTCGCGACGATTTATTGAACCCCAGCTGCAATTGTTATGCGCTCGCGCTATTGATCGATGGTACATATCGAGGTCATACCTGAATACTTGGTCCTGGCATCTGACGATTGGCTGTAAGAATGCCCCGTCTCTGTCCATCCGTGGAGACACAGTGATTTGCCAAGCAGGCCGTCTGATTCAGCGGACAATCCCCGCATGATCTGTTGAAAACAGCGCAAAAGAATAATACGCAATGCTGAAACTCACGCAATTTCGAATATAATAGTTTATTTCCTCGCATTAAATAGAGATCTCTCATCCGGTTTTCACAAAAATGAAAATGTAAAGAGCCCCTTTTAATTATACAGGGCTTCCTAGAATAACTGCATGTAGAATGCACCAGGGGATTCTTGGTGCCAAACAAAGCAACTTTTCGTTTACTGAAATTTCATTGGAATGATGGTTTTTAGATAAGAACTATTCAAAGTTGTCGAATCGATGTACTATACTGATCGTGAAATAGAAACGTAGAACCGCAAAATATCACGTAAGTCGTGTAAGCTATTTTTCTTTTGCCTCGCTAAAGATTTTATTACACAGCTAAGCATGAATTTGACACTATTATATTGAATGAATTTAATATCATTTTGAATAGAATTTATTTGCATAAATAAGTTATTTAAATAATATTCCATTCCTTTTTAAGTCCTTTTAAAGATCACAAATATTTTCAAACGTTGGAACAACACTTCGTATGGAGAATTACTTCGTATAATAAATTATTTGTTTGTCGTTTAAACATATTACTTCATTTGTAATCGTTCTTTCAACGACATCGGTAAAGAATTTTTTCGTATCAAATAAGTTTCATTCAAAATAGCGGTAAATGCAGATAGTACTTATTTGATACGAAAGAATTTCTTATCGATGCCACACACTCTAAAAGAACGACAATAAAATAAAGTAATATGCTTAAACGACATACAAATAATTTAAAAAATGCAATTTAAAAAATGCTTAGTTTATACCAAGAATCTTTGCACTCCGCATGCAGTTATTCTGGGATGCATCCTGTATAATATAAGAAAACAAATGATAGCTGCGAAATTTCAGCTACATGAAAATATATTTCAGGAAGATGAATCATATAATCGAATCACTCGTACGAGATTCAGGAATGCATAAATATTACGTCAAAAGGCGGAATTATATTATTCGATAACGGATATGTGCATTTCTTGCATAACAGTATCCGTCTTGATCGAAGTGACTGAAAGACATAGTATGCTAGTTAGGTTTTCTCAGTAATACTCGATCCTAAATACTGGGTGCTACCGCAGCTACCTACAACCGCTATGATTCTCGTCTTGCACGCTAGTTTCGATAAACTAACGTGTGATCAATCATGAGAGTCTTCCGCATTACACCGGTTAACGTTTAAGGATTACATAACGGCTATTGCATCGACGAGCCCGAAACCGAACGTCGTGCTTCGTAATGATTACGTGGCTAACGTAACACTAAGAATAACGTTTCAATGTTGCAATCGCAAAAACTGACCGTCCATAATATAGTCATTTTAGTAGGCGCGCAACACCGCATAAACGCCGCGAAATACGTTGAGCTTCCTTTACGTGAAACAAGTGCTGTTTCATTTTAACGATGTATTTGTAGAGAAACGTCGTCCTCGGTATTCGCTTCTCTCTGCGTGAACGAACAGAATCCAGTATTCGGATAAAGTTAATATTAGCGTTTCGGAAACTCAACGTGAATGAAGGTTACATAAGAGCTAAGCGAAATGAAAACTGAGATGTTATTTTACGCTTTTGATTTTTGTTTGACACATAGATAAAATCATTATAATGTAATTAAGTTTATAATTGCAAGCTTTCTTTTACGCGTATACGCGTCGTTGACGCGTGCACTGATCTGCCGTGCTGTTTTCTCTATTTCTTATATTGCATATTACATTAAATAGAGAAAATGGTAACGCAATGCTTTCTAAATTCAACGCAAATACGTCTGAAGGTTAATTAACTAGAACAAAACTTGTTGGAGTATCTCTTATATAATCATCATTAAACAGTGCTATGTACGTTAACGCGCGATGGGGATATGCATATGTTACTGCTGTACGAAAGTCTACCTCTAAGTTTCTCACCTCTCAAGATTTCTGTTACATAAACGTTACAATGTAACACTGCATAACTGCATAACTGCAACATAATGTTGTCTTGTGTCCTACTTGAGGAACTTTCGCATCTTTATTCGCTTTCAACATTTATATATTATTATGCAAAAGAAGCGCTTTATGTGTGCAGAATAATTTTATTACACAAAGACGAAGATTATGTGTTAAATAATTTTAAATTCATCATTCATTGATTCTCAGTCACCGTATACTTCAAAGTCATTGAAGAATTATATGAGTTATGAGTTATGAGAAACCATTACTCGTGAATTACTCGCAGATTACTATCGTGAACACGCGCTAAAATCGCCAAGTTCCAGCTGAGTGGTGGTTTAACTTACTTGCTGAGCGATTGAAAGACTTCTAAGGTGAGTTTCACCCGGCAAATCATGGGCCAATCCAAGTGATGACATGGCCTATCGCAGGAGAGGAATGTTTGTTCTGGAAAGAAGAAAAATAGAAATGGACTGAAGAGAAAGAGACAGGAGTAAGAAAGAACTTCCTTCGTAGAATCTCGCGACGATGAAAGTACGGTTTCCTTATATGTACGGTTTAAACGGTGAGAAAAATTGCGATTCAACAGGCGGGAAGGATGAAAGTTACAATCTGTATAGAAAGTACCGTTCGGGAAAGAAAAGTTAATGTTGTGTACGCACATAATAGCATTCGTATCGATATTATACGAATTACACGGAGTTACGCGCTTCTCTCGGTTATCATTACCGTGCAACGACCATTATCGGTGCCAATAGAAGTCTTTCATCCTATCCGATCGATGAACCGCCGCGTAACCATTGATTAAAATCGCTTCTTCGCACCTAGGTACTTTCCACCTTATTATATAAATCGATCTTTTTCTCAAGTTTCGTCTTTTATAACGAAGGATAATTAGAGATCGCCGGAATCGGCCGACTTATAATGCGACTTATATAAAGCCCCCCTAAATTTGTCCCGGTGCGCTGTAATTTTCATCAAATAATTGTTTCAACTTACTGGGTCTGTAATTGTTAATATGCAAAAATGTCGCCGCAGCCGCGATCATCGTTACAACCACGAGACATCGTAAGATGTACGTGGTTGGTGTCGCCACGTGATGGTGGACGCGCTTAGGAGGATACATCGTCTACCGACGTTGTTATACGACGATAACAAGGGGTGACGGCATTCTCATCCCAGACAGACCCTCGAGTTACCTACGGACTCTGGATGAAACTTACGTCAGTAATAAAAATTCGACAGAAACATTACCATGAGTAAGTCGACCATGAGAAAGTCGATGAAAACTGCGAACATACACTGCTATTTAGGATGCACGACGTGCACTTTGAGCACTGATTAGCGATATACGGCGATATTCAACGGAGAGAAGTGCGAAACAACTTTCTGCGCCCGGAGGCCTCCGAAAAAGTCAGTGTCGAAGGTGATGAAACAGAGGGGTCGAAGAAGAAAGCCGACCCTGAAAGTAAAAGAGACGCCGCTCGTACCAATGAAACCGAAAGTGCAGCAGTTGGCCGCCTCGTTCCCCATTAGATAGGCTAATTTCGCAGCTGCCACGTCATTCGTCGATCACGCTCGTTCTCGCGAGAACCAAGTGGATGATTCGCAAATAATGAATTCGAAATGCGACAAGATCGCGAGCGATCATCGATTACGGCAGTGATAGTATCATCATCGGACGCTGTCCTTCGCGAGCTAACTTTTGTCACTCGCGCGAAGTGTTAAATCATTCGCACATGTTCGATTATCGCAGCGACCGTTGATTTGTTAATGAATTACCCGTTAAACTTTCATCCGTAATGAATACAGCGAGTTACAGTTATTTTGCGAAAGGTATTGTTATATTACAAATGATCGACGGTGTTACATGATCTCATAAAATAAATAGAAAGATCTTATCGAAATTGTACGAAAGAAGGTCAGGATCAACGGTAGTATGGTCGCCTATTACTTTCGTTCTCTGTTAGATGCACAGAGTCAGTATCATTACGTAAAAAGTTGCATAATCTTCATATAATATATTTATGAACGTAATTCGGTCACATGTCTGACTACATCAGCGAGACTTAGTTATCGCGTTCGATAGTTTTTTTCAGCAAAAACCAGTATTATCTTTTAATGGAAAACATTAAGACTTATATTAAATAATTTCACTGTGAAAGATTATTTAATAACGCAACATCAAGCAACACTCCATGCAGACAGAATATATTCTTTTGCGTTACAGATATGCATACGCAATAGAATTGTATACAAACTTTAACTTTAACATTTCAAAGTGCACTTGTCAATACGGATTTCATGTTTTTGCTTTCCAATATTTCAACGCGCTGGTGTACAGATAATAACCGCAAATGAAATCCTTATCTACAGACAATGTAAAATTTAGAAAAATTCCAAAATGACCGAATTAAAAAAGTCCTCTTTCCAATTCATTCCCCAACGAATACAATAAAAAACAGTTTGCACTTGTGTTAAAATCGGTCATTGTTAAAATTGTGTATTAAATGTTCAACATACCCGCGTGTATTAATTTAATATATTGTATTTATGTCATCTCAATATTTTGTGTCGAGTCGATATTTAACATGTGTAAGTATTAAAATAATTGTAATTGTTAAAATAACAAACTTTTTTACTTCACTGTCGATTAATATATTAATTTTGTGCTAATTTTTGACATATATTTGTGTTATTTTTCAACATATCCTTTGTGTTAAATTAACGTAAACATTTATGAGGACCGTTTGAGATATATAAAATTTGCTCAATTTAACATAAAATTTTCTAGTATATGATACCAGACTCTGTTTAATTATTTCTATAACTATATATTCTTCTTTTATCAAACATGAATCTTTATTTGCGTATCGATCAAAAATAGATTCACGCTAGTTGTCCGGGGTCAATCACTATGCGTTGTACACGAACAACAATATGCCGAAAAGCAGCAGCATCCCGAAATACGACAAAGAACAGAGAAGTGAACGGGAAGAAGTAATCATGAGGAAGATTTCGTCAATCGATCAACGCGCGCGAAAGCAAGAGACGTAAAGTGAGAAAACTTATATTAAAGAGAATATAGATTTTCATGTCACTGCACCACTGCGGTCATTTACGTAGAGCCGATATACCAAAACCGCGGGCACAGTCGCGCTCCCCGACGACGACTGATGAGAATACCGAGTCCGAAATTCGTTGCCAGGAACGGCCTTCTCTCCCGTTCTCTTTCGCTTCTCAGAGCCGTGTTCCTTCTCTCTTTCTTTTTGCCGAGTACAGAGAGTGTACCAACAGCGTAAGGGGTGGAGCACGCTTCTTTATTGGCGAGATCCGTCTGCAATGAGACGAACCGGCTCTCCGGATATGAAATACGATCACGTATCGCAGAAACGAATGGGTGAAAATTAAGTTGAAAAAATTCGAGTTAGCTTTTATTACATTCGCGCCACGTGTCGCGTGTTCTCGTCGTCCCAAGCTTTTAAGGCTGCAAATTGCCACGGTACACCTTCAATTACGCCGCAATTACTGTGCAATTTTCCGCAGTTGAACTCGAAACGCGCGAACCAGTTCGCAGCTTACTCGGTGCTATTGAAGAACGTTTCGCGGGACAAAAGCGGTGACAAATCGATAGCGCGCCGGGTCTCTTTCTCTCTCTCTCTCTCTCTGTTCGAATATAAATTGTCCTTTCTGCATCGCCAGCAAAAGACTGGTTTCACGGTTACACACAACTGCTAGTAAATTAATTGAGATCGCACGTCAGATTGTTCGGGCAGCAACTTATATACACGCAGTAACGCAACTTATCGCGATAATTGGCAATAAGAATAAAGACGAGTTCGAATAGTAAGTATCGAAGCGTTTTCTTTCTCTCTCTTTCTCTCTCCCCTGAGAACTTAGACGTGCCCGTTTATCAGCAGCTGATGGAGACGCAACGCGACTAAGGTCAATGGAACGGAAATAATGATCTGAAGGTCTAAAAAAATAATCTAAAAATTCGCAATGATAATGATGATGATCATGATGGTGATGATGATAATGATAATGAGGATAACGATAATGAAGGTATCGGCGATCGAGGCGAAAAAGATGACAGCTAAGTCTCATATAAATCACTGCACCACTGTCGGGCCACTAGCCGTGCGAGATTCGTGCGTGGTGTAGCGAGCCGACGTAGACGTCGCCGGCAACGGTACCGTACGCGCACCCCGTGGATTACTGACGAGCAGTTTCGATTTCGTTCGCCACTGAGCACGACTAACCATGACGTATCTTCCCTCACCCAGAGGTACCCAGCAGCTGATCCCCCGCATGTTCCCAGCTTGGTGATCAAAGACCACCAGATAACGTTTTCTACATGAGGCTTGTGGGCGTGATTATATTCCGTTGAGCTTCGCACATTATGTGTCTCTCGAACGCCCCGGTGCACGAGACGACCTGTGCGAAATATGTGTCAGAGACGGCGTAACGTAATGGTAATGGTAAGTGAAAGTTCCAGTCGGAAGGCCCCGCGCCCCTCGAATGTCCACCATCCAGTACCAGCGACTGGACCCTGTTCCATCTCTCAGCCGGCGTGCAAATACTTTCATCTCCCGACCTTTCTCCTCCTCGTTCGTCGTTGGTCCAGCTGGCGTGCCGATTTCGCTTTCGCTGCCGAATCGACTCTTACTCGAGCGTGAGCGGATGGAAATGATAGCCGGTCCCGCGGCCGGTCACTCCCGCCTCTTGGAAAGCAAGTGCCGTTTCGCTAACGAAGAGAACGCGTTCGACGCCTCGATTACCAGTCATTGTAATTGCTATATTGCTGCTTGAGCGGAGCTTTCTAGCGTGGAAAAGAGGACGGGCTATTGGATCTATGTATCTGAATGATACACCCGCGGTTTTTCAATCTGAGTTTCATCGATCGCCCGAGAGTATCGTCGTTTCATCGGAGCGGGGAAAAAGGAGGAAAGTTGCTCGGATCGTTGAATCGAATAGATTAGATTCGCAATAAGAGCGTGAATGCAAAGACATTAACACGCTCCGTGCTACGTGTAACGTTTCCGATACACGCTGGACTCGATCTCACGTCGACTGATATTTTTTCCATCAACTGTCTAAAGTGTAATCAGTGTGATCAATGTGATCAATATGTTATTATGGAAAAGCAGTTAACAGTCACTAGTGATGATATGTAGCTAGCGAATATAGCAAATCAGTAAAATTTTAATAGCAGCAAATGTTTCCATCGGATAAGTCTAACTGCAGAAAAAGTGAAAAAAATGTTATTTATTACTTCTCTTTTATTATCTTAATCCCATTCTTAAGGTATCGTCAATGATTTCGCTCGGATATTCTTATATATCATTATGTTTAATTAATTAAATTTATATTGTATTTGAAAAATACGGGACGTGTAACAGTGATTTGTAATGAATCTTTCACTGGCCAAAATCAGTGAAATATTAGACAAAAAAGTTAAGTGAAAGAGCTCCCACTAAAAATTAGTGAACACTCATTAATTATCGGCAGGTTATATTATGTTTCATTGATTCAATTAGTGACACTTTCTCTGATTCAATTTAAGAGAGAAAAGACGGAGCACAGTAAAATAATTTCGCTTATAGCCCATTCGTATTCTGTTATCGTGTTTATTTATTTATCAAGCTCCACATCGTGTGCCGTTTTTTCCGGTCTAATTTAATAAAGTGGCGTGAATTGAAAGACAGGTAAAGACGGTGAAGATCGGTACGGGATATATTAAACGATGAGAGATAAGTTATGTGTCGTGGTAAGTCGAGCAATCGACTTAAATACCTGGAAATTAAACGACTCGATAATTACAAACGTGACCTCGTGTTTCAAACGCGCTCTCCTCGTGCAGTAGCAAGTCATCGTGTGCGACGCTGGAAGAAACGCACGTAGAAGACAATTTTGCTGGAACGGCAAATCGTTGTTGCGACAGCGATAAAATTTAGTATAATCAACAATTGATCTTAACAGGTCATTTTGTCGTCCAAACAAGTATTTTAGTAGCACTATATTAACAAACGATTCGCTCTTCCAGCAAAATTGTTTTCTTAGCGCGCCCTCGATGTTTCCCATCGAAATGACGTTAGGTCGAGCTTTCTCCGCAAACGCGTCGGAAGTCCAAAGATGGTCCAACGATGGACGGGTGACGATACGATGTATATAAACGAAAGAACGATTAGCATTTAATCTCAAGATGCGATTATTATCGCACCTCGAAATTAACGCGTCGGCGATATTCCCCTCGTTCGAGTTCGTTTCATTATCTCTCGCTTCCTAATGAGAATGAAAGATGCATGGGATATTATATAAACAAATTTCGGCGCCGTGAGATGATTGGTCGTAGACAGCGCACGATATAATTATGACAACATGGGTAAACATCATACGAATTGCAAACCGCCATATTCCCCGTAACATGTGTCACGGATTATCTAACGAACGATACACATTGAGTAAGGAAATTGCATTACCCAGATTCATAATGACATCACGTCACCCAATCTGTATTAAATCGTGACTGTCACTATCATGCTAAACGTCGAATGTCGCTTCCCGACTTTGCGCGAAATTACGACCGAGCCAATTGACACGTCTTGTTATGTGAACAGTACTTTGAAAACGCTTCTCCCCTTCGGCGTTTCCTATCACGCGAACGGACCATACTTCGAAATTATACGCTCGACTCTTCACCTACGTCGAAAACTTTCTCCGTGTCTCATCCGCTCGCTCACGAAGTCCCGTTCGGGAGAGTTTCGGTGATAATGCAGTTGCCTGATTCGAAAGCCACTCAATCGCTCAACGCTATCGGGCGTTATCGTTGCACAAAGTGGAAAGCCGGTCGTGAGTCCAGCAAGACCTAATAAAAATTGCCATCCACGAGTTGGATAGGTGAAAGACACAACTCTTTAAAACCTATCCCGTTCTATTCTATTCGTGGAAGTTTTATTGTCACACTTCCTCTTAGATAAAAAGGTTTTTCTGCCTTGATTTCAAGTAGCGCTCGGATTCGTGGAAGTTTTATTGTCTCACTTCCTCTTAGATAAAAAGATTTTCTGCCTTGATTCCAAGTAGCACTCGTATAAACGCTCCTCGTGTCTTGAAACGTTTTGCTCGAATTTGCATCCTGTGGCGGTTATCGGCTCGACGATCTCATGTGGGTTACCGGGTAATCAAATGGCAATTCTCTCGCCCGAAGGATGGAAAGGAAGGTTGGGAAGAAATCAGGTTAATAATGAATGTAGATACGTAGACGCGCGCGCATATGATAAAAGGTCTGTAAACTGCAAGATACGCTCAATTAGAGCGATAATGATTTTCTTTCCGCTATCTCTCTCACGACGTAGATCTGCGGTTTGAAACAAAGCAAACGTAGAAGTGCACGCGAACGTGCCAATAACCCGAAAACTGGTTTCACACTTGGTTGCTCTTTCACGTTACAAATTGTATCTTCCCTATTATCCGTTTTCTCTCTGCGTTCTTCTGCTTATAGTATATCTGCAATTTAAATTTTACGTTCTACTTCGTGCCAAAGTCCAAACTTATTAGAATAATGGATATATTCCAAATTTTGGGATCCGATCGGTGATCAGATGGAAAAGGATACTTGCACGACACTCGCCTCGAATGATACTTCGCGTTTATCGTGCAATAATTGACGCTTTCACTTGTTTACTTCGACGTAACTCTTCTTTTACATTTTTCATAAGTCACTAAACGTAGTCATATATCGTTTCACCGATATCACATCTTCCAGGAAGTATATGGATCGGATCAGTACAGATTATGCTTATGCACTTCGTGAACGTTTCAATTAATTGAATTGCCAAATATTCATAACTGCGCAATATACATATACAATATCGCGATATTCTAACTATTATATAATCATGAATGGTCATCAACGAGAATTATATATGGCCATTTATTTACTCATTACGTATACGACGCAATAGATCCGTGTATGCATGCTGTAATTGTCACATCTTGCCTATATAATCATCCTATATATCTTTGATGTATGCGCGTTAATTATTTTCCATGTACTTCATGAATCGAATTAATGAACATATACAGGTTATATCGGAAATCTGAAAGTAACTGAAATGATTCTCGTAAGCATTTTATATTTTTCTTTACGATCGATATAGTTATTCATTCAAAACTAAAATTATTGTGGAAATAATAATTCAAAATTGATATATATATATAATGAAGGTTATTTGTGTATGTTTTTGAGAAATATTGCCAAAGATCAAAGAGATATCTCGTTTATTTCTCGAAGTGCATCGCACAAAATTAAGTTTTATTTGAGATAATCAAACCTCGAAAAATTAATAAACGAAGTTCCTCAGTCACGTAATCGTTTCATAAAATTCGACTATTATAATAAATTTCGGTTGCAAATCTTAGTTTTTTATTAACAATAGCTTCAAGGGAGCCTAAGTTTTAAAGCAATTAAGGACAAATTATTACTGTCCCCATTTCTGTACACGGGAAACGTTGAATTTCTTGTTCGCGAAAGTAGATTTCAGCAAAACATTAGACTGCTTAGTCACCGAATGCCCATTATTAATTGAAAGCGTATAAAACATTAACAGCCAACGTTTTACGAACACGTTCCGTTCACTGACAAGTTTATTAGGTGAATAAAATCTCCGTATCGAAACGAAACGATATCGAGACCCGCTATTAAAAAATTTACGATCAAGTAAATCAAGTAGACGAAGAGCGAATCTCCGTGTCTGGAACGTCAGATACTTCTTCGAAATCAAAGAAGAGAGAAAGTAAAAGATATTTAATTAGGAACACGTCAGAGAAAAGTCGTTTATATTTAGAACAATCCACATTAATGAATTGTCATTAATATGAATTAAGAAATTCTATCTCTTTAAGGCGGAAGCGACACATCATCGAAAAGCGAAAGTAATTGTGTACATATGTTGTTACCGCGCGAACCTACACGCTTTCACGTCGACTTTCAATTTTCAATTTGACATATTTTGGTAATATCTGCGATTTATGCAACTCAAAAAAATACTTCCCACTTCCTTGTCGCAACTGATCTGATAGAAAGTACACGGTTGCACAATGCATACCTTCATAAGAATGTAAAATATAATAAATACATTTTTCTCTAAAATATACTACGCGCGACGATTAGCAGAGCACTTGACACTTTTTCAAAAAATAGGCAAAATTCAAGCAATTGCAATCTCATCA